GGCGAAATGTCGCGTTGTCGCATTGTCGCGCATTGGTTAATTTTGCTTTAGTTTGCTTGATTTTGAGAGGGCGACAACGCGACAATGTCCCTTCTCGGATTACATAACCCAGAGGAAACAGTAAGTATTTGCAACCAGATATTTACAATTCGTAAGGAGGGAAATATTACCTTAAATACCTAATATCAAGTAGTAGATGCCCAGCAATAGTCACGAATCTGTTTAAAAATTTCAAAATAGCGAACACATTCAGCAAGTCGAGTTGCTCCTACTGAACAGCGGAGGTAGTGTCACAAATATCGAGATACGTTGACATAGTGTGATACATACCGAGCCATCAACACAGCACATACGTTGACACAGTGTGATACACACCGAGCGATCAACACAGCACATACGTTGACACAGTGTGATACACACCGAGCGATCAACACAGCACATACGTTGACACAGTGTGATACACACCGAGCGATTAACACAGCAGATACGTTGACACAGTGTGATACACACCGAGCGATCAACACAGCACATACGTTGACACAGTGTGATACACACCGAGCGATCAACACAGCACATACGTTGACACAGTGTGATACACACCGAGCGATCAACACAGCACATACGTTGACACAGTGTAACACACACCGAGCGATTAACATAACAGATATGTTGACACAGTGTAACACACACCGAGCGATCAACATAACAGATACGTTGACACAGTGTAACACATACCGAGCGATCAACACAGCAGATACGTTGACACAGTGTAACACACACTGAGCGATCAACACAGCAGATACGTTGACACAGTGTGATACACACCGAGCGATCAACATAACAGATACGTTGACACAGTGTAACACACACCGAGCGATCAACATAACAGATACGTTGACACAGTGTAACACATACCGAGCGATCAACACAACAGATACGTTGACACAGTGTAATACACACTGAGCGATCAACACAGCACATACGTTGACACAGTGTGATACACACCGAGCGATCAACACAGCAGATACGTTGACACAGTGTGATACACACCGAGCGATTAACACAGCAGCATACGTTGATACAAGTTGACGCAGTGTGATACACCGAGTGATCAACACAGCACATACGTTGACACAGTGTGATACACACCGAGCGATCAACACAGCACATACGTTGACACAGTGTGATACACACCGAGCGATTAACACAGCAGATACGTTGACACAGTGTGATACACACCGAGCGATCAACACAGCACATACGTTGACACAGTGTGATACACACCGAGCGATCAACACAGCACATACGTTGACACAGTGTGATACACACCGAGCGATCAACACAGCACATACGTTGACACAGTGTGATACACACCGAGCGATCAACACAGCACATACGTTGACACAGTGTAACACACACCGAGCGATTAACATAACAGATATGTTGACACAGTGTAACACACACCGAGCGATCAACATAACAGATACGTTGACACAGTGTAACACACACCGAGCGATCAACACAACAGATACGTTGACACAGTGTGACACACACCGAGCGATCAACGCAGCAGATACGTTGACATAGTGTAACACACACCGAGCGATCAACACAGCACATACGTTGACACAGTGTAACACACACCGAGCGATTAACACAGCAGATATGTTGACACAGTGTGATACACACCGAGCGATCAACACAGCAGATACGTTGACACAGTGTAACACACACTGAGCGATCAACACAGCACATACGTTGTCACAGTGTGATACACACCGAGCGATTAACATAACAGATACGTTGACACAGTGTAACACACACCGAGCGATTAACATAACAGATACGTTGACACAGTGTAACACATACCGAGCGATTAACATAACAGATACGTTGACACAGTGTAACACATACCGAGCGATCAACATAACAGATACGTTGACACAGTGTAACACATACCGAGCGATCAACACAACAGATACGTTGACACAGTGTAACACATACCGAGCGATCAACATAACAGATACGTTGACACAGTGTGTAACACATACCGAGCGATCAACACAACAGATACGTTGACACAGTGTAACATACACACCGAGCCGATTAACGAGCGATCAACACAGCAGATACGTTGACACAGTGTAACACACACCGAGCGCGATCACACATAACAGATACGTTGACACAGTTGACACGGTGTGATACACCGAGCGATCAACACAGCACATTGACACACCGAGACAACAGTGTTGACACAGTACACACCGAGCGATCAACACAGCAGCAGTGTGATTAGATACGTTGATACGTACGTTGACACAGTGTGATACACACCGAGCGATCAACACAGCACATACGTTGACACAGTGTGATACACACCGAGCGATCAACACAGCAGATACGTTGACACAGTGTGATACACACCGAGCGATCAACACAGCAGATACGTTGACACAGTGTGATACACACCGAGCGATCAACACAGCAGATACGTTGACACAGTGATACACACATGAGCGATCAACACAACAGATACGAGCGATCAACACACGCTGAGGCGATCAACACAACAGATACGTTGACACAGTGTAACACATACGTACGTTGACACAGTGTAAGAGGCGATCAACACAGCAGATACGTTGACACAGTGTAACACAATCAACACAGCAGATACGTTGACACAGTGTAACACACCTGAGCGATCAACACAGCAGATACGTTGACACAGTGTAACACAAACTGAGCGATCAACACAGCAGATACGTTGACACAGTGTAACACAACTGAGCGATCAACACAGCAGATACGTTGACACAGTGTAACACACACCGAGCGATCAACACAACAGATACGTTGACACAGTGTAACACACACCGAGCGATCAACACAACAGATGCGTTGACACAGTGTGTACACACACCGAGCGATCAACACAGCAGATACGTTGACAGTGTGATACACACACCGAGCGATCAACACAACACATACGTTGACACAGTGTGTGACACACACACACCGAGCGATCAACACAGCAGATACGTTGACACAGTGTGACACACACCGAGCGATCAACATAACAGATATCAACATAACAGTTGACACAGTGTAACACACACCGAGCGATCAACATAACAGATACGTTGACACAGTGTAACACATACCGAGCGATCAACACAACAGATACGTTGACACAGTGTAACACACACTGAGCGATCAACACAGCAGATACGTTGACACAGTGTAACACATACTGAGCGATCAACACAACAGATACGTTGACACAGTGTAACACACACTGAGCGATCAACACAACAGATACGTTGACACAGTGTGATACACACCGAGCGATCAAACACAACAGATACGTTGACACAGTGTAACACATACCGAGCGATCAACACAACAGATACGTTGACACAGTGTGACACACACCGAGCGATCAACGCAGCAGATACGTTGACATAGTGTAACACACACCGAGCGATCAACACAGCACATACGTTGACACAGTGTAACACACACCGAGCGATTAACATAACAGATATGTTGACACAGTGTAACACATACCGAGCGATCAACACAGCAGATACGTTGACACAGTGTAACACAAACTGAGCGATCAACACAGCAGATACGTTGACACAGTGTGATACACACCGAGCGATCAACATAACAGATACGTTGACACAGTGTAACACACACCGAGCGATCAACACAGCAGATACGTTGACACAGTGTAACACACACCGAGCGATCAACACAACAGATACGTTGACACAGTGTGATACACACCGAGCGATCAACACAACAGATACGTTGACACAGTGTAACACATACCGAGCGATCAACACAACAGATACGTTGACACAGTGTAACACATACCGAGCGATCAACACAGCAGATACCTTGACACAGTGTGATACACACAAAGCGATCAACACAACAGATACGTTGACATAGTGTGATACACACCGAGCGATCAACAGCAGATACGTACGTTAACATAGTGTAACACACAAAGCGATCAACATAAGTTTATCTTATAGGATGTTAACAATACCCGGGCTGGGTAAAGGCTATGACGATTCCTTGAGGATTTTCAATAAAGAATTCTTCCATAACTAGGAAGGAGTTGCACTACGAGTTATGGATGATGACTATACAACCTTCCTAATCGATATAACTAGGAGGAGCTGCAATACGAGTTATGGATGATGACAGTACAACCCCTTCCTAATCGATATAACACAGCAGGAGTTGCAATACGAGTTATGGATGATGACTATACAACCCTTCCTAATCGATATAACTAGGAGGAGTTGCAATACGTTGACATGGATGTGACTATACACTGGAATCGATATAACTAGGAGGAGAATACGAGTTATGGATGATGAGTGTACAACCCATTCCGAATCGATATAACTAGGAGGAGCTGCAATACGAGTTATGGATGATGACTATACAACCCGATCCTAATCGATATAACAGGAGGGAGTTGCAATACAGTTATGGATGATGACTATACAACAAAGCGAATCGATATAACTAGGAGGAGTTGCAATACGAGTTATGGATGATGACTATACAACCCCTTCCTAATCGATATAACAGGAGGAGTTGCAATACGAGTTATGGATGATGACTATACAACCCCTTTTCTAATCGATATAACCAGGAAGGAGTTGCAATACGAGTTTATGGATGATGACTATACAATACCCTAATCGATATAAAGGCTATGAGTACGAGTTATGGATGATGACTCACAAAGAATTCTAATCGATATAACTAGGAAGGAGTTGCAATACGAGTTATGGATGATGACTATACAACCCCTTTCCTAATCGATATTTGCCAGCAATCTGTTACTCAAGACTGACACATCAGTCCATGTTAAAATAAAGCCAACGTTAAATACTGACGCGGCGGTTTAATCGTCTTCATCTCACAATTATACTTTGATAGATCCTCATTAGAATAAAACTACTTACATGTAGCGGGATCACTCACATTATCACAGTTGGCAGGGCAAGTTGTGCGCATGCGCTGCGACGTCACGGTGTGGAACAGCTGTTCAAAATTGATTCCAACTTGTTCCTAAGCTCAGCAGCTGCAGGTATAGTGCACATCAGTAGGTAGTGACGAGATCGATACCCCAGCTCACTGTAGGTGCTGGGAACAAATACACCTGGGCAGTCATTGAGAACTGCCTGGAACAAAAGGCAAATTTTAAAAGTTTGGTCAAAAGAAAGATCATACCCAAGCATATGTGAAAGCACATGTAAAGCACGTGCTTCGCGTAAGAATTAAAAAAAAGTGGTGGTGTGTATTTCTGTTGACTCTAAGTTGACGGTGGCCCAGTGATGGAGGCGATGTTTGGTTGACTGTGATGGAGGCGATGTTTGGTTCTATTGACTGTAAGGTGACTCGGTGATGATGTGGATGTGTTTCTATTGACTGTAAGGTGACTCGGTGATGATGTGGATGTGTGTTTCTATTGACTGTAAGGTGACTCGGTGATGATGTGGATGTGTGTTTCTATTGACTGTAAGGTGACTCGGTGATGATGTGGATGTGTGTTTCTATTGACTGTAAGGTGACTCGGTGATGATGTGGATGTGTGGTTTTATTGACTGTAAGGTGACTCGGTGATGATGTGGATGTGTGTTTCTATTGACTGCAAGGTGACTCGGTGATGATGTGGATGTGTGTTTCTATTGACTGCAAAGGTGACTCGGTGATGATGTGGATGTGTGTTTTTATTGACTGTAAGGTGACTCGGTGATGATGTGGATGTGTGTTTCTATTGACTGTAAGGTGACTCGGTGAGGGATGTGGATGTGTGTTTCTATTGACTGTAAGGTGACTCGGTGATGATGTGGATGTGTGTTTCTATTGACTGTAAGGTGACTCGGTGATGATGTGGATGTGTGTTTCTATTGACTGATGATGTGGATGGTGACTCGGTGATGATGTGGATGTGTGTTTCTATTGACTGTAAGGTGACTCGGTGATGATGTGGATGTGTGTTTCTTGATTGACTGTAAGGTGACTCGGTGATGATGTGGATGTGTTTCTATTGACTGTAAGGTGACTCGGTGATGATGTGGATGTGTGTTTCTATTGACTGTAAGGTGACTCGGTGATGATGTGGATGTGTGTTTCTATTGACTGTAAGGTGACTCGGTGATGATGTGGATGTGTGTTTCTATTGACTGCAAGGTGACTCGGTGATGATGTGGATGTGTGGTTTGACTATTGACTGCAAGGTGACTCGGTGATGATGTGGATGTGTGTTTCTATTGACTGTAAGGTGACTCGGTGATGATGTGGATGTGTGTTTCTATTGACTGCAAGGTGACTCGGTGATGATGTGGATATGTGTTTCTATTGACTGTAAGGTGACTCGGTGATGATGCGGATGTGTGTTTCTATTGACTGTAAGGTGACTCGGTGAGGATGTGGATGTGTGTTTCTATTGACTGTAAGGTGACTCGGTGATGATGTGGATGTGTGTTTCTATTGACTGTAAGGTGACTCGGTGATGATGTGGATGTGTGTTTCTATTGACTGTAAAATGACTCGGTGATGATGTGCATGTGTTTTGACTATTGACTGTAAAATGACTCGGTGATGATGTGTGATGTGTGTTTCTATTGACTGTAAGGTGACTCGGTGATGATGTGAATGTGTGTTTGACTATTGACTGTAAGGTGACTCGGTGATGATGTGGATATGTGTTTCTATTGACTGTAAGGTGACTCGGTGATGATGTGGATGTGTGTTTCTATTGACTGTAAGGTGACTCGGTGATGATGTGGATGTGGGGTTCTATTGACTGTAAAACGACTGAGTGAATATGTGCATGTTTGTTTCTATTGACTGTAAGGTGACTCGGTGATGATGTGGATGTGTGTTTCTATTGACTGTAAGGTGACTCGGTGATGATGTGGATGTGTGTTTCTATTGACTGTAAGGTGACTCGGTGATGATGTGGATGTGTGTTTCTATTGACTGCAAGGTGACTCGGTGATGATGTGGATGTGTGTTTCTATTGACTGTAAGGTGACTCGGTGATGATGTGGGTGATGTGTGTTTTATATTGACTGTAAGGTGACTCGGTGATGATGTGGATGTGTGTTTCTATTGACTGTAAGGTGACTCGGTGATGATGTGGATGTGTGTTTCTATTGACTGTAAGGTGACTCGGTGATGATGTGGATGTGTGTTTCTATTGACTGTAAGGTGACTCGGTGATGATGTGGATGTGTCGGTGATGATGTGGATGTTTCTATTGACTGTAAGGTGACTCGGTGATGATGTGGATGTGTGTTTCTATTGACTGTAAGGTGACTCGGTGATGATGTGGATGTGTGTTTCTATTGACTGTAAGGTGACTCGGTGATGATGTGGATGTGTGTTTCTATTGACTGTAAGGTGACTCGGTGATGATGTGGATGTGTGTTTCTATTGACTGTAAGGTGACTCGGTGATGATGTGGATGTGTGTTTCTATTGACTGTAAGGTGACTCGGTGATGATGATGTGGATGTGTGTTTCTATTGACTGTAAGGTGACTCGGTGATGATGTGGATGTGTGTTTCTATTGACTGTAAGGTGACTCGGTGATGATGTGGATGTGTGTTTCTATTGACTGTAAGGTGACTCGGTGATGATGTGGATGTGTGTTTCTATTGACTGTAAGGTGACTCGGTGATGATGTGGATGTGACTGTGTGACTTGATGTGGATATTGACTGTAAGGTGACTCGGTGATGATGTGGATGTGTGTTTCTATTGACTGTAAGGTGACTCGGTGATGATGTGGATGTGTGTTTCTATTGACTGTAAGGTGACTCGGTGATGATGTGGATGTGTGTTTCTATTGACTGTAAGGTGACTCGGTGATGATGTGGATGTGTGTTTCTATTGACTGTAAGGTGACTCGGTGATGATGTGGATGTGTGTAAGGTGACTCGGTGATGATGTGACTGACAAAGGTGACTCGGTGATGATGTGGATGTGTGTTTCTATTGACTGCAAGGTGACTCGGTGATGATGTGGATGTGTGGTTCTATTGACTGTAAGGTGACTCGGTGATGATGTGGATGTGTGTTTCTATTGGCTGCAAGGTGACTCGGTGATGATGTGGATGTGTGTTTCTATTGACTGCAAGGTGACTCGGTGATGATGTGGATGTGTGTTTCTATTGACTGTAAGGTGACTCGGTGATGATGCGGATGTGTGTTTCTATTGACTGTAAGGTGACTCGGTGATGATGTGGATGTGTGTTTCTATTGACTGTAAGGTGACTCGGTGATGATGTGGATGTGTGTTTCTATTGACTGTAAGGTGACTCGGTGATGATGTGGATGTGTGGTTCTATTGACTGTAAAATGACTGAGTGAATATGTGCATGTGTGTTTCTATTGACTGTAAAATGACTGAGTGAACATGTGCATGTGTGTTTCTATTGACTGTAAGGTGACTCGGTGAGGGTGTTAATGTGTGTTTCTATTGACTGTAAGGTGACTCGGTGATGATGTGGATATGTGTTTCTATTGACTGCAAGGTGACTCGGTGATGATGTGGATGTGTGTTTCTATTGACTGCAAGGTGACTCGGTGATGATGTGGATGTGTGGTTCTATTGACTGTAAAATGACTGAGTGAATATGTGCATGTGTGTTTCTATTGACTGTAAGGTGACTCGGTGAGGGTGTTAATGTGTGTTTCTATTGACTGTAAGGTGACTCGGTGATGATGTGGATATGTGTTTCTATTGACTGTAAGGTGACTCGGTGATGATGTGGATGTGTGTTTCTATTGACTGTAAGGAGATTACATCAGAGGAGGTTACATCAGGGGAGGTTACATCAGAGGAGGTTACATCAGAGGAGGTTACATCAGAGGAGGTTACACCAGCTGAAGTTACACAAGGGCTATAAGGGCAGAGGTTCCACCTGCTGAGGTTACACCAGAGGAGGTAACACCTGCTGAAGTTACACCAGCTGAGGTTACACAAGAGGAGGTTTCACTAGAGGAGGTTACACCAGATCTGGTTACACTAGAGGAGGTTACACCAGCTGAGGTTACATCCGATGAGGTGACACCGGCTGAGGTTACCCTACAGGAGGTTACACTAGAGGAGGTTACACAAGAGGAGGTTACACCAGAGAAGGTTACACCAGAGGAGGTTACACTAGAGGAGGCTACACCAGATGTGGTTACACCAGAGGAGGTTACACCAGAGGAGGTTTCATCAGAGGAGGTGACACTAGATGGGGTTACACTAGAGGAGGTTACACTGGAGGAGGTTACACCAGAGGAGGTTACACGAGCTGTGGTTACACCAGAGGAGGTTACATCAGCTGAGGGTACACCAGAGGAGGTTACACCAGAGGAGGTTACACGAGCGGTGGTTACACCAGAGGGGGTTACACCAGCGGAGGTTTCGCCAGAGGAGGTTACACCAGAGGAGGTTACACCAGAGGAGGTAACACCTGCTGAAGTTACACCAACTGAGGTTACACAAGAGGAGGTTACACCAGAGGAGGTTTCACTAGAGGAGGTTACACCAGATGTGGTTACACTAGAGGAGGTTACACTAGAGGAGGTTACACCAGCTGAGGTTACATCCGATGAGGTGACACCGGCTGAGGTGACACCGGCTGAGGTTACCCTAGAGGAGGTTACACTAGAGGAGGTTACACAAGAGGAGGTTACACCAGATGTGGTTACACCAGAGGAGGTTACACCAGAGGAGGTTTCATCAGCTGAGGTTACACCAGAGGAGGTTACACTAGAGGAGGTTACACCAGAGGAGGTTACACCAGAGGAGGTTACACCAGCGGAGGTTACACCAGCGGAGGTTACACGAACGGTGGTTACACCAGAGGAGGTTACACCAGCGGAGGTTACACAAGCGGAGGTTACACCACAGGAGGTTACACCACAGGAGGTTACACCACAGGAGGTTACACCTGCTGAGGTTACACCAGCGGAGGTTACACCAGCGGAGGTTACACCAAAGGTGGTTACACCAGATAAGATTACACCAGAGGAGGTTACACCAGCGGAGGTTACACCAGA